TTCAAAATTTACATCTTTACAATTCAAACCTTCCTCTCAATCTGCTATCCCGCTACTTTTTGCTTTGACACCAATCGCATGCACTTCTTCGAAGCATGGCGCATCTGCACGTCTGTCGTATGCATATATTGAGTAGCGCCAGTATGTAGTATACACTGCGTTTCATAAATATAGGTCCACCCTAATTTTTTGCTATTCCAAAGTTGCTGTGCATTTTTGGAAAATGCCGCTATTACCAATAGTTTCCCCATAACGAAAAACCTTGATACTTGATTTCTGGAGAAATCTCGATTCAGAATTATTAAAATATCTTCCTTAGAACGTATTTTCACCGTTTCGCAAATATGACTACACATCACTTGTCGAGAGATTTTACTATAACGAAAAAACGTCACGAATTTTCAATAATGGGATGACCCCCCAATAATCATAAGGAACACAATAATACGTTTTGAAATGCTGGTAGCCAAATTAGCTATTACAGTAGGATCGAAATTCGTCTGGGCGCCGATGATCGACCTTTTCAGCTTTTCGGCTGTTCCATTTTGCTTTACTTTGCTGTGGAACTTTATAACAATTAAGGCCCAATGATTCTCTATTGGAATCTAATTCAGATAACATGGTGGCCACCAGATAACTGCCACATTTTTCCTGCAATTCCATCTGGCGCGGAGGGACCGGCATGGACAGCCGCGTTATCGTGTGTGAAAATCAAGGATAGAGGGGATCCTTGTTGAAAAAATGGTAAGACTCGCTTCGAAAGAACTTCACGATACCCTGTGGAATCTTTGTGAACGGAAACAAAAGCGAGCTCTAGCTACTCAGTCGTTCAAAGGTGCCTCAAACCATAAGGGATTCACCGCCGAAATTACGTTACATTGAAACCATCTGCGATTTTCACGCGATCATCCTGTACCCTCTTTTTCTGCCATATCCACCTAGAATAAACTTTTCCACGTCGATCTCAGACCACCTGTAGAACGAAACAAGGAGGTAGAGTCCAAGATCGCGAAGGGTCTTAACAGCCACACCATCGCTCATTAAGTTGAGCCCTTTTCCACGGAGAAATGGAGACTTGCGATCTTGTAGCGCTCAAATAATCTTGGAACGCTCTTCATCAATCCGTTGAAGATGTTATTGCTCTGCTGGCTTACTCACCACACGGTGGTTTTGCTCACGGAAGGCCGCATTTCAGTACGGACTTTGTTCGGACTCCTTGTATAATTCGAGAGAAGACACCCAATTCCTCCTAAATTTTGAAGGAAACGCAGTCTTTATTTACCTAAGCGACTCTTCTCTCCGCACTGACCAGGATTTTGCACATAGTCGCTTATGCAGTATGAGCCGGCCGACATGGGAGGAAATTCTGCTCCTCAGCTATCCCACTTCAGTAAGTGCTCTAGCTTGAGCTTGTTACTGGGAAGAGAGGCGAATAACACGAGGTATGGTAAACTCGATGTCGACTGAGCCCACATATTTCCCCGCTTCCCTGATTCCCTTCACGGATCGTGAGAAATGGAAACTTTTTATGAGTGGCCCGATATTCATGAAACGGTGAAAATTCGTTCTAAAAAAGTTAATTGGGTTACTTGAGGGGAATTTGTCAGAAAAACACTATGAAGGTTTTCCGTGATGAGGAATCTAACGGTGATAGCAGCATTTCCAAAAAATGCACAGCAACTTTGGGGTAGCAAAAATTTAGGGTGGACCTATAATTATGAAACGCAGTGTATGAGCATTCAAAAAGCTATAGCTTTGTTCAAAGCGCCGACCTGCAGTCGAATTCACAGATCTCACCACAAATTTATGTGTTGATTTTTGAGTTACCTCAGTTAATCAAGGTTCCTTGAATTGAAAAACGCAATACAGATTGGCGGCCACACGGCTTACAGAAAACACTGTATTACAGTTGTGCGTCGCACATTTCGTCGCCATCATTCGCCGCATTCTTACCTTACCTCATCACGCCATGGCTGCTTCACACGGTAAATTGTTACACAAGTACAATTTATATCTCTCGTCGAGGTGTCGTGAATCTGCAGACATAGCGCATAACCGTGGAATCAGAAGAGTAGCGTCGAGAAGACTGGGGGAAACCCCAGCTGCATGAGCAATTTCGATTTTTTCTGAGTTCTTCCCCTCCAAAACCTAGCCCTAGCCGCTCACTAGGTGAATACTAATTTCTTATTGTTAGCGTTTTACGCCTCTCCACCGCACATGAACGGCGTACAATATCGAAAACAACTATTACCAATCTGAGAAATGGCGTAGAAATTAAGTTGCTAGCGACAACGTAATTTTGAAGGCCTCCTTGAGCCAAAATGGCATAGGGGAGGCTGTACATCGCAGTGCTCTCCTTCCCGGACGAGGCTCGAAATGGACACCATCTGTGCATTTGGAGAGTATTAATCACCTGATGGAGCGTCTATGACGCCAGTTCTGCATTTGCGACACCCCGGAAAACGAGGTGAAGAAGGGCCTAACTGCCCACTGGTTCTCATGCCTAGGCTCAGTAAATTTGTTTGCGGGGAAGAAATTCTCGTTATGGCCTCTGTTTGTGGACGGCCAAAACCTCTGCAGCACAGAAAAATCCGAAATTTTGGTGCAGGTAATGATGCCCAGCAAGTTTTACGAAGTGCGCTTCTGCAGATACCTCAAACACCTATCGACGAAATAAGAGAAAAATATGTTAGGAAGAGAAAATAACAATTTTCTAGATGTGGTCGACGACGCCCCAGTGCAACAATGACTGGTCGATCCTGCTCCAGCCGCTCAGCTATATCTTTCTGTTTCTCTCGAGTATGATCAATCCGATTCTTTACGCGTTCCTTTCGAAACGTTTCCGAGAAGCCGCCAGCGACATCTTCTACTGCAAGTATGTTCATTCAACCAGCCCTTGCACACTTTTATTTTTCGCTGCTATGTTCTTTACCTTTTACGGCGCAACCTCTAGAGAGAGACACAACCCCCTACTTCCCAATGCGGTAAGTGCGTACCGATACCCATCAACCCGCAAAGAGGGATCTCACAAAAGTCGTCGCAGGCTTCTGCTGCGATCACAGATCGGTAATGAGAAGCGATGATGGAGATGTGATGAGAAAATTAGTGATGGATGACAATAAAACTTACCGGTAGGAACAGGGAAGAGTAATCGCCATTCACAGCTTCCCATAAACCTCGGCATAGTGTGGCTATTTACCAGCCAACCTCCCCCCCCCCAACCTAGTGAACTTCGGGAGATTTCGCCAGAATGTCAGCTGTCAATATACAGGGATGGCCAACATTATGGTAACCAAGAAATTATGTCACTAAAAGACTAATATTAGCCGAACTAAAGGCAAAAGTCGGGCTCAATAAGGGGGTATTATGGCGATTGAAACTGAGTATAGAGATGCGAAGTGAACGACAGTGGAGAAAAAACTGAGAAAAACCGTCGACAAGGCCGTTAACAAAACCCTCTTTCCCACTAGCAGTGAAGGAGGCTGGCTTGGGAAAGAGGCACGTACAAACAAGTTTTCTGGAGATGTCAGTCGTTCTATCGGTTGATACGGGCAATCACCTAGCTGATTTCACACCTTTTCTGCCAGACCACGCACACTCGCAGAGTGGCTGCTCTGGCATTGACCCGGCGGCCCTGGATGAACTGAACGCTCCGCTTAACGGGTTTTTTTCCAGGTTGGGAAGTTGCTGCCAGTGTGTGTACTCGCCACATTACAACTCTCCTAGGCGCGTGCTGAAACCGACCTTTGCATAAAAAACCAGTCAAAAAGTCCTGGCCCATAGTGTCACAGAGGAAAGCTAGGGACTAAAACCTGTCGCCTCATACGTTCCAGATGAAGGGACGCGTGTAACGCAGGTGAGGCGCATCAGAATGATTAACTTTTTTGTTGTCCCCTTTTCAGGGAACCTTCTTCGATGTTTTGAGTTTGCTCTTGCTTCCAGATCTACCCTGGCAGACATCCAACTCCGGATCAGGGTAGGACTATTTAAGGATACCACTTTTCGAAGGCTATTAAACTCAAAGTCAATATTGACGCATTTTTGCTGTCTGACTAGACTCTGGTCACGGGTTCGAATGATGTGCTCAAGTGTTTCTTGTCGTGGTAGAACATCGAATTGTAGAGATTCCCTATTTACAGCAATTTTCCATTCGTAAGTAAGACGTAAGACGAAAGGGGAGAGCGAGTTTCTGTGTTTACAATTTGTCCTTGTGGTATCGTAACATTCAAAAGCTGCTCCTTTTCCATCTTAGGCCGATGTCAGACTTTGCGAATCGCGCGATTCGCTAGCGTCTGCGGTCGCGTCGCGGCCAGTGAATCACTCAATTGGCTGGTACCGCAACGCGACCGCGGACGCTAGCGAATCGCGCGAATCGCTAGTAGCGAATCGCGCGATTCGCAAAGTCTGACATCGGCCTAGGCGGCTTTTAAGATAGGAATGATCGAACAATTACCCATGAGAACTTTTCTGCTACGCTGAGCTGTCGCTAAATGTAGCATGACAGAGCCCCTTTCTCGGTTTATTTATTTATTTATTTATTTATTTGTTTATTTACAGGTAAATCATAGCAGTGAGATATCATGGATAAATGAACCCGGGATGGCACAAGATTCAACGGAAAAAAAGGGGCAAGAGGGGGCACGCAAAGTTGCTAAAAAGCCCTGAAGATAATCCTACTGCCGAGGCCGCAACGCAACAGGGGCGGGTGCAGGCGGCACCTCTTTGATCTAAACACGAACCCCAGGCGCTGGCTCGGGGGTACTTACGAAGGCATTAACTAAGTTTGCGTGCTAAGCTCGTAACGATGAATATAATAAATCTAGCCGGAAGCGGCCCAGCAGGAAAGGGTCAGCAAATAGCCCGGTTCAATTTGAGGGTGGGCATACCGTGACGTGCTTATTCCAGTAGTTTTGAGGGTTGTATGACATTTGGTTTCAATTCGAAGAAGACACCGTCTACCATCACGATACCCCAAGAAAGAACAGGAATGTAAAGAGGTTTGGGAAAAAAGTGAGTTCGCGCGCACTCGCGGTTACCATAATTTTGGCCAACCCTGTAGATCAATAAAGCTCGCGAAAAGCTAAAAAGGCGAAAACACTAAGTACAGCTAAGAGTTAGCTACAAGAGATTATGGCATCTACAAAATGCCCTGCTCTGTGAACGCCTATAGTGCAAATCGTCGTTATAGCTCAGGTATTAGATTTCAACAAGGTGAAAATTGATGTTCCTTCTCGGATATCAATGCCAACCAATCTTACTCCACTGGACTGCTGATTCCCAGAAATGGCGGTTTTTCAATAGGGATGGCGAGCAAAAGGAACTGATGGTGTTGTCAACAACTCATAGTAATTGCTCGTCAGTCGCGTTTGCCATTCCACCGGCTTATGTAGGCAGTCGGCTAACTCAATGGTCAGAAGGGCCACAAGGGTGTTTCAAAGAAGGATACCAAGGATAGTATAGGCAGAAAGAATTGGGTAGTGTTTTGGTCTTGGGAATTAATGCTCTATAGGCTGTCAATTTCAACCTAAACCTACTACGGTGTGATGCGCACGGTAGCGTGTGGAGCTGAACTGGTGTTTGGAGCGCTTACTTCGAATAGGAGGGCTAACTAACGTAAGACACGAACTACAGTATAGTCGCATTGCAGCTCCATAGAACAGTGTTCTCTCGAGGAAGGTCAAGGCGGATTTGCGGTACACGATAATCGCGAAAGCAGCCATCGCAATGAATTCCAATCCTCTGATAAGTCGGTTGTAGGCTATCCTTTACGATAAATCGACAAATAACGAAAAGATGGTGATTATTGACAAGTGATCGACAGCCAAAAAAAGCTGTTACTAAGCCATGGTGGAAAAATTCCTTGTACGGGCGTCGCAGGGAATATATTGTCCACTTCAGCCTATAGGGCAATGAATTCCTATCAGGTCGGACAACTAACGCATACTAACCGAACAGAATGCAGGAACAGCAACGAATTTCACTGTGCCGCACCCATACAGGTAATGCCAAGACAGGATTCAAATTAGAAGTTAGCCAAAGCAAAGTAAGGCTTAAAAGGAGACAAGGACCGCTGTGTGTGGATAATTCCGACTACAGAGCAATTTATTACAGAAGTTCTGTCTCGACGATCGTCAACATCTTTCAAAGAGTACAGATAAGGCGCATTAGAGTCCGCGAAAATAAGTACGTGCTAGTTAGATGAAAAATTACCCTATCGGATGAAATATTTGGGGCAGTTCGCTCGTCAGGCCACGGCACGTCATTATTTCATCTTACAGTTGGATCTAGTTATAACGCGATTCAGAAGATGTGAGACACCGGCGCCGAAAGCATGCAACAAGTTCCTGAGCACGATTTCTTCGAATAAGTTCTGGAAAAAACTTATACTGATATTTGCTTTGATTCCCTTGCGCATTCGAAGAAAGATTCCTGATAGACTGAAAGTCGAGGAATTGGAAATATACCTAGCATGTCACATGAGGAAGCGAGACGATGCGCAATTCGTTGTAAAGGGTCAACTGGTAGCGGCCTAACAGGGCCTACCCGCGACGCCTGCGGCTCTCCACGCCTCCAAGATAGCAACAGAAGCGTGTTGAATGTCCATACTGGAACATATAATTTTGCTCTACACTTCGGAAAGGCTTTTCTTTCAAGCAGCCGCACCTCTTACCAGCATCTCTCTCAGCGTCTTTATGGCTAAGCCCTTATCAATAGGCCATGTTCGCTGGTACGATCCGGCTATCGGAATTATCCATACAAACAAGCTCGTCTTGTTTGCTGGCTCATTTAAAGCGGAGATCTATCTAGGCCATTTTTCCTGCGTTTTTTCCTTCACCACTGCACATCACACCACCTCTGTCATCATATTCGGTGGGCTACCATTTTATTGTGAGTGCGCATTCGAAGACAAATTACGATGAAAATTATTCACTTTGGCGAGTTTTCTCGTATAGAAAGTACCGCCACCCACTCACTCCCCCGCCCTTCGCTGATCCTGAGAGATTCGTACTAATGAGTTCATCGCAACACACGCTGAATAGCTCTTTCTCTTTGTCAGCCCAAGCTGATTCGCGGCTTTCAGGACCAAATTGAAATTCTTTCGTTGTGTTTCTACTTCGGCGGGTAGCGTTCCGTTGCCCCATCCGAGTGAAGAAACGTTCCCTATTGAACACTTCCAGCAAACCAGGTGACTTTGTTGGAATGTGTTCGCTTCGTATGGTGTGCTTTGAAAATGGCCTTTTTGGTTTGCGGAACAATCGCTTCTGTTTGACCTAACTGAAAGCTTTCCTAAGTCTGCTAGAAGATAAGATGTGGCCATGCAGTTCCGCTTAGGCAGCACTGGAAGGAAAACAGACTTTCTTCCCACTTTGCCGGCTTCTTGTGATGTGGGTGCTCATGCTACTCAATAGAATTGTGCACACTTGTGTTGTCCCTCTGCTTGTCAGCCTTCTTATGCATTGAATGATAAGGATGAAACACTCTGCGACAATCAGTTTTTTCGCATGGGGATGATGCAAATGATATAATATAGCCAACCGCTGAAAAACGGCTATGCGCGTGATCCGCTCCGGACCAAGTGAATCGTATGTGATCAATCGCCACTTATTGCATAATGAAACATGAGGATAGAGACATTTAGGTGTTCAGTCGCTTTCTAAAATGCGCCACGCATTGTACTTTCATTGATAATTGTGGCATTTTTAATGTAGCGGCACAGTTGGACTACAATGACGCGCGGATCGGCCAACTAACAAGTCAGTGCACTTATCCTCCCTGACAATTTTGGCACTAATTAGTCAGTCTCGGAGGACATGGACGATCTGGCAATGGCGTAACTTTAGGGTTCATACTTGGATTGAGCGCATTCTGAGCACCACACCTTTCACCACAAGACTTCTGTAGAGCATTTAGTTGCACCTCCTAACAAAACAGGTTTTCCTGTAGAGAGAAAGAGCTTTGGGAATGCGCCGTTTTTACCGGCATATTTTGCGATTTATACGAGACCAATCTTAAGACAAGTGATTTCGAACAATTACCGATGAATGTATTTCGCCTTTCCAAATCGGGACCATCGGATTTCGAT